GCATTTCTAGCCAGTTATGTTACAGTAGGTATCACAGGCGATTTCCCCCTTTTTGGCATCAATAAAACGCTCCAATGGCTTGATTATTGTAGAATCTTATGCATTTAATTCACTTCTGAGTATTCATTATAAAAAGACAGGTTTTATACAATACATCTTGTGTTCAGTTTCTACTTCCTAACTTGTTCACATCAAAAACTATGACATCTAGGGTTTGTTTTTGTTGCTGCTGTTAATTTTGTTTTTTGCCATTCCAGAAATGCCATTCCAAGACCTCCACTCCAAGGCTGGTGATTTTACTACTGAGCTAAATCCCTGGTCCTCAACTGTTGTTCGCTAGCAAACTTCCAAAGCATTATCAGACCATGTGTAAGGACTCGCTCGCTGGAACAAAAAAGTTTTTTTAGACCAAGGGACCAAGAGGTTTTGTTTTCAAGTGTTATAAAGGGAAATATTTGAGTCATTATTCAGCCTAAAATATAAGAAGAAACTGAATGGATAATCTTAGAACAAGTTTCTAAGAGTTCGGAATAAATCCCATAAAGTCAACGATAAGAAATGTCAGTAGATGTTAGATCCTAACTTAGGCTCCTGAAAGCTCAGGGGTTAATCACTTGGGATCTTGGTGATGTCTCATTTGTAGTATTTATTATAGAGTAGGACAGATAACGAGTACCTTTTCTGCAAAGGGTCAGACTACAAATATTCTAGGTTGTTTTGGCCATAACACCACATTGATCCAACTTTGTTGAATTATAGTGCAACGATAGCCATATCCAGTGCAAATGATTGGATATGACTGTGGCCACGTAAAATTCATTCACAGTGTATTGAAAAGATCATTTGGGTTCAATGCTAATATAAAATCTACTTAAGAGAGAGAATTTAGTAACAGTGGCTTCACACAAAAGTATGTTAAGAAGGGAGGATAGAGATGACAGAAGAAAGTAGTCTATGGGGGAGAAAGATAATATAATTTTTCAACAAAAAGCAAAAAAATAAAGCCAAGACCAAAATTTCAGCTTCCTCTTGGAGTCCTTGTTCTTTCGCTTGTCTTTGTTTCTTTGCCTATTTCCCCTCTGGAGAAGCCGGTGTTCTTTATAAAATACATACTTCTCTCCCTTCACAACTTTCTAAATAAGTTTCAGTAAAAACAATCATATTTCACCCAAATAAATCAAAGCAGAAAATAAAGATCAAGATTTTGAATCTAATTTTAATGAAAATGATTTTATTAGTATTATTATGATTTTGCCATGTTAAGAATTGAATCCAAAGTGTCACACATGCAAATCAAATGGTCTACTGTTGAGCCTTACCCCAAATCTATTCAGGGAATTTAAACCACAACTGTGAGAGTTTAAATTCCACAGACAATCTCAGGGAAGTTGCTGGGTTATTCTTCAAGAACACCAAACTCTCTCTCAAGTGTTCACTTTTATCTATGAGGTTCATGTTATTTCATTACTATTTTAATTACTTTCCCACTGGTGGGAAAATGTCCTAAAAACCTTTCATTGACTAGATATTTACTTAAATAATATATAAAGGATACAAGAATAATGCCTCTGTTCTTTTTGGTTTCTCTCCTCTTTATGAAGGACCATATGCAGCAAAGATTCAGTCTCCTGTATGCCATAAGGATTCACTTTGAACATTCTATCAGAAGGAGTGTCTAGCATAAAACTGCACAATGTACACAGGCATTGTCTGAAGAGTGAGCACAGTTCAGTTCATCATGGTCTCTCCTGTGGCATATGATTTTTCTATAATTTTGGAAGTGGCTTCAATAAATTGTTTTGAGGGTTACAGAAACTAATAATCTTTAGGTTGGACTCTTTGGGATGTATTCTAGTAGAATGTGGTTGGGTTATTTATTTATTTATTTTCAGATTTTAGAAAGGCAACATGCTTCATCTACCACAGAGCTTATACACCACCATCCAAGTATGGGATGCCCCTCCAAACCTGGAACTGCATTTACTAACTGCTGCCACCAGACAAAGCCACAACATACAGAGAGCAAAAAGCTGCTTGCAAAACTTAGTTCAGATTTTGCTGTTGAGTGTCTTTGCTTCCAGTGTAGGAAGAAACCTTTAGGTTTTCAGAGCATTCTGGATTTTTGTGAGGGACTGACATGTGTATCAACAAAACAGACTTTCTGACTACTGCTCAGTCCTGTGTATCCATATTTGGCTGAGCTTGGAGATGCCTTCTAGCATGAATTGAAGAACAGGAGTGTAGGATAACACTGTTTTGTCCTTCCTCAGTTAGCTTAGGTTTATCAGGTCACACCCATTAAAGTGCTCCTGAGTCACTCCCTTCTTCTGTTTATCTGTAACCACTTCTCTATGCTCTCTTCCCCAAACAGTTAATCAGCTTATTCCCCTAATCAGTTTCTGTTCATTTGTAAGGTCAGATCTTTCTTGAACACTGAACTTACATTGTAAGTTAATATTGCCTCTCTCCTCTCCTTATGTCTTTTGAATAGTTTATTTTAAAGCAATGTTCTTTTGTATAGACACAAGAAGATAATTAATATCATGCTTTTCTAACTTGGGATTTAATTGGCTTCGAATATTATTCATTCCCAGGCATCTGCTTTCTCAACTTAAGCCTCAGTTGCCCTCACTTCCTAGCGCCCCCCCAAAGCAGGATCCCAATGAGGGACTGGATGGAATCAGGGCAAGTGGTAAGCTATGTGCTACCCTGGCATCGAGATGGGTCTGGCAAATGCGCCACAATTCTTAATTATAAGTTAAGAGCTTGATCATGACAAATGCTATCATGATCCAAAAGTAACGCCCAGACTAGGACCCTGCTAGGGATAGGAAAGACTAATCTGGCTTGAGCACTGTAGTCTGAGATCGAGATGGCCCCAGGAGAGCAATTCTATAAGCTTAATGCATCTCTTACTGTGTCTATACAAAATGATTAATATTATGAATGCTTATATGTTTGTTGAACAGGGAGAGGAGAAACACTCATGGGATTGCACCCTTAGGTGAGTCATCCTGCTGAAATAGAATCTGTCCTAGAGGCAGCATCCCCTAAGGGAAAGAGCTTTACCCCTACTGATTGTGACCACACCTATATGTAAGCCCATCCCCTCATGGTTTGGCCATTTAACTAGAATGTAAGAGTGGGCTGGGGGCAGAAGATTAAATGCCAGAGTCAGAAAAGAGGGGTTCCAGATTGGGGCCTGGGAGAGAAGGAGAGGAGAAACAGGAGTGAATGGGGATGAGAATGGAATAAACAGCATCTGATCAATTAACCGATTTGGCTCTCATCTTCTCTGCCATCTGCCCCAGGGCCCGGGCAGCCCCTGGCTGCTCCCTAAAGAACTTTTACACAGGAGGACTGCAACCCTCCCATCAATGTGAACAGGCATATTGACTCTCACCTCTATATCCACGTGATCATGGAGTGATTCTCATTTCTCCATCAATGTGGGTAGGCATGTTCTCACCTCTTCCATGAATGTGAACTTCTATACTGGCAGTAAAGCACACACGATCAGATTGAAGACATGTGCCCAAGAACAGAAGGATTCTAAAGGAATCTCTGCTTTTCTCTCTAATTTAAAGACAGTCCTTCTAGCTCTGGCAATCACTGCAACTCTACATTTTAATTGGCACTGGCAAGCTCTTCTAAAGTTTGATTGTGTTATGGTTGGTGCATTTGTTCTTAATCCACTGTTTCTTGGAAATACAGGCAGAACTTTGTGAAAAATACAGACATGTTGGTCGCCAGGTCAACCCATGTTTTCAAGAAACGCTCCTTTAAAAATCTATCCTACATCATATCTTTCTGATGAAGCCTTGATGTCCTTCTGAGTTTGGGTTCAATGTTATGGGCCTGCTTTGTTCTCAACCTCAGGCTCACCTCTTGTTGCTGTGGATAAGCCAGTTATGAGGGAGCCTCCGTACCTGCAGTTGGGAGGGAGACGGCCCAGAGGTAGAGTGGGGGTGTTTCCCGGGCTCCCACCTCGTCTAAGAAAGACTCTGCAGGGTCACTGAGGAGCCCCTGAGCCAAAGAGAGCTATTGGTGCTGTTAGTGCAAAGAGAGCTATTGGTGCCAATGACCCTGACTGCCAGCCCTGGGCCACCCTACTGTCCTCGCTAAAGCTGCCCATCAGTGACTGACAGGACCTGTGAAGGCAGGGCTTGGAGCAAATGTGAGCATGGATTCTAAAGCAGATTTTGAATCAGATTCCAAAGCGCGGCAGGCGGCAACTGTGCTCTCTGCCTTCTTCAGTGGGGAACTCTGTGTAGAACTCCAGAGAAGCACTAGGGCTAGTGAAGTCTTTACTCATTTAGTTTCTCACCAATAGAACGACATTGAAAATGGAAAAAGACATAAACAGTCAAAGTAAATGATAGATAAATAATACCAACCAAAAACATTTTCATATCTGTAAACAATGCACTGTAGCACTGTACCACTGTCCTCCCGTTGTTCATCGATTTGCTCCAGTGTACACCAGCAACGTCTCTCAACAAATTGTGAGACTTGTTGTTACTGTTTTTGGCATATCAAATACATCATGGGGAGCTTGCCAGGCTTGCACTAAATGTGTTATTTCTCTTAGAAGTTCACAGACAAGAAATTGATTCTCCACTTTACCAATGAATTATTTCTATCCCAGAGAATTAAATAAAAGTATTACAAGAATTAGAATGCTATTTTAAGCCACTTGTGCTGAAAAATTTATGGGTTTCTAGAAGTTAATTTTCCTTAAGTTCAATGATTTTTAAGTAGCATTAGTATAATAAAATTTTTTGATACTTAGACATTGTCAGTAGTTGTGATTCCTACAAAATGTATAATCAGATATCTCAAATTCCTTATTAAAGAGTTCAAGACAGAAAATGCTGGCATAATGCTCCATTTAATAAATTACACTTAACCACTGATACAGAAAATCTGTTCAAAGTTAGAAGCTTTATATATGATACTTTCTTCATGGAGAAGATGATGATAATGATGACACTGAAAAGCAGACAACTATCCCCAAAGAGGATCAGGGTCTTTTTGTGGAATTTGTGTTAAAGAATAACTAAAGAAATTTCTCCATTTACTCATTTATTTGTTCTGCAGTGCAGAGCTGGAATCTAAGACCTCTTTCACGTAAGCAAGTACACTTACCACTGAGTTGCATCCATCTCGGGCCCTAAATTAAGGCCAGCCTTAAAGTTAAGGCTAGTCTTAAAAAAAAATAAAGGTCATAGAACCAATACCACACATGAATAAAAACAGTAAATCAAGAATGTTCTCATCTTCATTTCATTATCAATTCAGTCATGTAAATGGAATATGTTAAACACCATGAGCAAATTCAAAAATTCATCGAAGAAAATAAACACTTGTAGCCTTTTTTAAAAAAGCTTTAATGGGTAGTATTCTTTGATGAACATAAGCAAAATGCAGAAAACAACAATAATACTATACTGAACTCATTCTCAGAAACTTGCTTTTGAAACACTAGCTCTACCAAATATTCACCAAAGTACAGCTCTAGATTTTACTTACATTTAAAGCAACTAGGTATTTTTCACCTCTCCTAATACGTATTTAAAATACACTTTCAGATATGCATAGTTAATTTATGATGCCCTTAAAAATATTTCAACTTATATAAAACAATTCATAGAAATACAAAAATATTGAATTTTTCATATCTGAGTCTTTGAAAACTTAAAGTGCAGTATTCTCATGGATCAGCAAATTATCATTGTGCCAAGTAAGTTCAACCTGAAAGAGCATGTAAATAATTTCCAAGACTTTGTGAATATCACACTACAGAGAACGAGGTCTGATTTTTCTAGTAGTCTTCAGTATTTCAGTGCAAGGAGGAAAATTCAGCACCAGTGTAAAACATGTTTTTATTTGGAGAAAACCAGAGTGGGCTTTTGGGGGATACCGCAGTATTTGGGAAGCTGGGGCAGGGGGTGGTTGGGGGACTCCTGGCCTGCAGCCTGCAGTCTCAGCAGAGCCCGACCCTGGTGACGGATTTCCTGGACAGCTTGGAGGCGCTGGGACCTCCAGGACCCAGCACTGTCCCCAGGGTCAGCCTCAAGCAAGGCAAGTGCTGTGCTGTCTCTCAGGCCCCAGGAACAGAACAGTGCTTTTAACAGGGGAGATGAAAAGGAACAGGAGCTGTGCCATTTTTCTCTCTAATGGCTTTTCTTTACTCAATTACCTGATCAAACAAAAATTATTTTTCAGTTCAATCACTGAACAAATTATCCTTAAACAAAATGTCCAACCTTCATCCATGGCTTTAAAAAAAAAAACCAAAACTCTCAAAAGAAAAACCAGTCACTTTAAGTTCTTTTCTTTCTTATTCTTCAGCAAGGACTTTAACTAAAAACAGCCTACAATTCTTTGCTTCACAACGTAAACGTTAATGAAAATTTCACTCTTCAATAATATTTTGTTGACAGTCTGACTCATTCAAGATGGCAGTGTAGAAATGTATTCCTAACATACAGGTGGCTATGAAAACTAAGTCAAAATCAAATGAGGAAAAAAATGCAAATCCCAAACTCGCTATTCTCAGAAAGAAAGAAACTATCTAAAATGGAAGGACAGTTTGCAACCTTTACTTCAGCCAGAAAGAGGAACAATTCTGGGAAAGATTCAAAGCTTGCTTTTGTCCCGGGTGGCGACCCCCAGCATTGGAATCAAAAGGGCATTTGTGGACTGTGAAGCTTCAAGGATGACTGTTTCCTCAGTCTCTGCTGCTGTCTCATGGACTGTGCATCCTCGATGGTGCGACATACTCTCTGCAAAACATTTGCCAGGAAAGGTCAAGCTGGGGACCTCCATCAGCCAGAGAAGTAAGTCAAGGCAGTGAAGAGCTCACTGGGAGTCTGCACACACTCAGCATGAAGGGCCAAAAGCACAGACTAGGGGACCCTCCCACCCTTCGCAGACTCCGGGGCATTGACTTTAAGCTGCCATATATCCTCGTATTAGAAATGTGTACTGGTGAGTACAGAGCATTGTCCCTTATTCACGGAGCATTGTTAGAAACAAGTTGTTTACCTCCGCTGTGGCAGTATCCTGCAGGTAAACTTTCCGGAGGCAGCATTGATGCGCACTGTCTTTTTTGTGGAATAGGCTCTGGTCCTGGTTAAAAAGAAATAGTGACAGAAAATAAATTATCTTGGAAAGTAAAAAAGAAAAGAAAAAGAAAAAAAACAGAAAAATACCCCCAACAATCAGAAAACAAAAAGACACAAAACCGTAAGAATCTTTAATTGGACGTTTAAATGTCAGTTCTATTTTATTTCCAGTAGGCTAAGCAAATGTACATATTTAGGTCTGATAACAAATCATTTTGGTACAAGAAGAGTGCTGCCATCTGCGAGTTGCTAAGAGTTATGAAATGGACTGAGACTACATCTATCTGTATAAAATAATGGCTTTCTGCAGGCTACGGTAGTCTACACAAGCACTACTAACTCTGACATATAAAAAAAAACCCTTCATTTCTCTGGATGATGGATAAAATTCTCATATAATGCAAAATACATTAAGTCAATTTTCACCACTGATGTGAAAGAAAAGTGAGAACTAAGGGACCTGTGACAGATATGCAGAGTGACACAGTTCCTCCTCATCTGAAAACTGTTTCTCCAATTAAGGCACTCTTTAAATTTGCACTCCGCGATGAGGTTGAGACTGATAGGAAATTAGGATGGTTTCATGGAGTTTCTTTTATTTTTGAAGTTCCATCAAAATAAAAGTAAACAGAAACTAAAGAGTAATAGCACCTGTATCTATTAGCTTTTAAGATGCTTTTCAGATAGTTTCATTCATTTTAGCATTATTGTTCACCAAAAATACTGTAAAATTTCCACCTTTGTAATCTGCAGGTTTCTGAAAGGGACAAAAATAAATTTATATACATATGTATGTAAATTTACATGTCATAAAAATTAAATACATCAAAAAAGATCTGAGAAATAAGAACTAAGGTCTGAAATGGAGAAGTAGGCAGAAGATGGGTATCAATTTAGTCCTTATCTGCCATGTGAGATAGGACCATGCCAGAGAGACAGTAGAGTGGGTAGCCTTGCATCTGGACAACCTGGATTCAATCCCAAGCAGTCAATATGAGCCCCAAGCCCTGCTAGGAGTGAACCCTGAGCACAGAGCCAGAAGTAAGCCCTGACCACAGTCCGATGTGGCCCCCAAAACAACAACCAAAATTTCTTCCTTAGAAAGTGATGAGAGGAAAGACATAACGTTGTATTATTTTATTAGAATTCAATAAATACCAGTATCGTAAAATAGGAGTGCTTTAGACACAATCCTTATAGGAATCTTCTAAAAGTCTTCAAAAAGGAACTTTTCTGGTTATAACTCAGAATATAGCAAAATAGGTATGCATATTAAGCAGAAACATATACTATGTACTGATGCTTTATTTTCTCAAAAGGCTCCTAATGCTTTCCATGGACAGACTACATCTTTCACTTTATACAGTCAAGGACTGTCAGAAGTATAGTACATAATTGCATGGTATCTGTCCTTACACTTCAGCATGTAACAACAATTCATAAAGAACTTAATGCCGTTAGCCACAAAATTGAGTCAGAAAGCTCTATTTGGTTTCCACTCATTATTGAACACTGTCTTGGTTTTAAACCAGCGTGATTCATGCTTCCTTACCTTAACAGAAAATTTTAGCAGATTTTCAGTGACGCTTGGAGGATATACAAAATCTTCAAATGGACACTGCCAGTCAACGGACATGTGGCCCAGAATTTCAACTTCCTTTACACATAACACTCGCCTATTTTGAAAAGGAAAGAAAACCGTACAGGGGGTGTCATACAACAGTGAATCATTTGCTCTGCTTGACATTTCACTCTGCCAGGGGGCATATTTATTACTCAGCCAAGGAAGCCATCCAAGTGAGTACCGTAAAAACAGTACTCCAGAGTAAGAATCTATAGAATTGTCATACAAAGGGCACATTAATGGACTTCCAAAAATTCCCTTCTGCCAATCTTGCAAAGTTCAGAAGTGTACAATTTTTAATCTGACCCCAAAACTGAAATTATCCTTGAAACACTGAAGAAATGTGTTGTATTCTTAATGGAGAGACACAAAGGCAGAACCCCTGGAAATGTTTTACTTGGAAAACCATTAATTGCTCTTTACTGTCAGTCACTTATGCCTTCCAGCCTAGAAAGGATTTTCAGGAAATGTCACAAAACCTCAAATGTCAGCAGAGCTGCATGGCAGACCTACTAATAAATATCAGGTTTGAACCCTTTAACACTAATGTACTATATTACAGAATGTGCATCTCATTTTACTTAAATTCAATTAAAAAATAACCAACAGAATTCTTAAAGAGCTAGCAGAGAATTTACAGCATGTGATTCAAATTAATTACTAATCTAGCTATACTTGATGCTAAGTTTCAATTACAGAAAGCAAAACTAAGAAAACAGAAAAACTGTTAACGCTATAAACACTTAAAATACTGAAAAAACACAAAGTGTTTTCCAGCTGGAGATGAACTCCTGTACTAGAGAGGGAAATAAACATGTAAATAACTGCTACAGCACTGTTAGGTAAGTGCAATAGCAGAGCAGAAAATTCTTTTGGAGCACGGGAGCGAGGAAAGATTGTGTTAGCAAAGTAGGTGGCAAAAGAGCTGATTCTTCAAAGAAAGGAGTTTTCCAGGTGGGAACAGAAATGACAGTCTAGACAAAGGGAAACACACACACACACACACACACACACACACACACACGAGCACAGAAGGGAAAATTTATTTGAGGATTGTGGAGACCTGCAGAGTACCAGTCATATACAAAATAATTATCTGAGTGCCAATCTTGGGTGTTTTGTTTGTTTGGTTCATGTGCAGCTTTAAGAATAGAATACTACTGAATAGCAGTACTCCTACATAAACAAAATCATTATCTTAAGGTGACAATATTAAAACTGCTGTGACAAATGACACATAAAATAATAAATAATTTGAAGCAAAAAAAAAGAATGGAATACTATGCAGCTGTTAGGAGAGATGAAGTCATGAAATTTGCTTAAAAATCGATAGACATGGAGAGTATGATGCTAAGTGAAATGAGTCAGAAAGAGAGGGACAGACACTGAAGGACTTCACTCATTTGTGGAATATAAAACAACATAAAATGAGGCTGACACCTAAGGATAGTAGATACGCGGGACAGGAAGATTGCTCCATAGCTGGAAGCCTGCCTCATGAGCAAAGGGGAGAAGGTAGCTGGAATAGAGAAGGGATCACTAAGAAAATGATGGCTGGAGGAACTGGTTGCGATGGGAGATGTGTGCTGAAAGTAGTAGATAATGGATCAAACATGAAAACCTCTCAGTGTCTGTACTGCAAACCATAATGCCCAAAAGTAGAGAGAGAATATGGGGAATATTGTCTGCCATGGAGGCAGGGTGAGGGTGGGAAAAGGGGGGGGTATACCGGGGACATTGGTGGTGGGGAATGTGCACTGGTGGAGGGATGGGTGTTTGATCATTGTGTGATTGTAATCCAAACATGAACGCTTGTAACTATCTCACGATGACTCAATACAATTTAAAAAAAAACAAACAAACAACACATTTGGCCTCAGTCAATGGAAATGACCTGATGTCTTATTTTAGAGTAATAGTTCCAGTAGTCAAAGAGAGAGGTAGGAGAGATGATCAGGAGAGCCAGGAGAGAAAGTCCAGAACAGTCAGTTGAGAAAGTGAGACCTTCATCAAGTCAGTTGCAGTGAAAAGGGAAGAGAAACTCTTCTGGGTATATGCAAGGGTGGAGGGATAGACACGGTGACCATGTTCATTTTTGGAGCATGGAGACTGAAACAGAGTGTTGACACAGGCCTTCCCAGCCGACTAACTGCTGACATTCTAGGACCGCCTCCTGCTGTCGAAGGATTCTGTCGTGTTGCATAGGGGAATGTCACCCTCTGGACACCCACAGGGCTTTCCAACCAAGGGCCACTTCCAATGCCCCTATGTCCTCTAGACTCCAGGATGTACATTCTGCTCTCCCTGCCTTTTGGCCCAATCAAGAATCAAAGATAGGGGTAAGAGTTAAAAACAGCTGTCACAAATTATAGTCGCAAATGCAAGACCCCGTTCTGAGACTCTTAACACTCTCCAGTCAGATTATTCTCCTATCACCTTAAAACACCTTCATTCTCTTTCTTCTTTGCAAGAACTCAAATCTCAGCTCTCTTGCTCTCTCATGCTCTCTCCTTCCTTCCTTCCTTCCTTCCTTCCTTCCTTCCTTCCTTCCTTCCTTCCTTCCTTCCTTCCTTCCCTTCTCTCTCACTCTCTCCCTATCTCTCCTTACCTCTCTTTCTCATTTTCATTCTCTGACTACAGAAGCACCTCTTCTTTGATGTCAGGGCATACAAATTCAGTTAAGTAAAGCAAGAAAACAAACAAAACTAAAAAGAATCAACTTCTTTCCCTTAAATCATTACACTGATAATACTTTGCCCTTGCCCCACCCCCCATTCTGGTATAACTATTTCAGTTGCAAACCAGAGTCATCTGTATCCCTTCTTCGGTCACCAATTCCTGGTCCCTAAAGCTATACCTCCCACCCCACCCCTCTTGTATTAATCTTTATTTTGTTTTTAAATATAAGAACTCACCATGTCCAATCTGGAAACTTGCTAAAGTCTTTGCAGTAGAAAGTATTCTAAGAAGGTTCCCAAGACTCCCCCCATCTCTTGGCATGAGACCTGTATAAACCCCAGGACCATGAACATAATACATCTCACCCTGCTGAGTAGCTTTACTATACAGTAACTTGAAGCAGAAAACTCTCTAGGGCTATGGCCTGGCCTTACTGAGGGGTGCTTTGGGTCTCTGTGTCAGAGATGCAGGGCCCTGAAGATGATTTGAGAATGGACAGTGAGCAGCTGCTCAGTGGACTGAGACCAAGGCAGCAGGGACTTTAATTCTGTAACTGCAAGGGACCGAACTCTGCCTGCAGCATTAGTTGAGCTCAAAGTGGATTCTTCCCTAGGATTTCCCAAAGGAAAGCTAACACAGAGTTTTCAGCCTGGTGAGACCTGAGCAGAGAATGCAGCCAAGATGAACCAGACTCCAGACCTGCAGAAACCAATAAATGGGTGTTGTTTTAAGCTGCTAATTTTATGAGACTTTGCTGCAATTAAGAACAAATACAGTCCCTCCTGAATCTTCCTACTTCCATTCTCTTCTTCCTCCAATTCAGCATCTATGCTTTTAGGAGATCATCCTGGGCTACAAACCTCATCATATAACTCATTGTTCACAACCTTCGATGAGTGTGCCCAGTTCAAGCAGCCGAGGGAGAAGCTTCCATACTGACCAAAACAGACTACATTTTCAAAGAATGAGTGATCTTGGGTTGGGGACGCAGTTCAAGCATCAGACCTTGCATGCCTCACATGTGCAAGGAATGCCCTGAGGTTTACTTGCATCCCAGTACCCCCAGATGCAGAGAGATACCTCTATTAAAAAAAATGAACAAAATTTCCCCAGATTAATTATGAGACCCGGGATCTGGATTTTATAGTCTCTGAGTCTTGGCCGCTGATGGGATTACACGGCGCCAGGGGGCCAGGTGGTGGGTGTGACCCCCGCCTGCTGGAATTTGGAGGATCTGGATGGAAGATGCTCGACTCCAATCTGAGTAGGCTTGGAGGTCTCGGCCCCGGAACCCGCGTGGCTTTGTCCCTCTGCCAGTACCTTCATGTGTGCGGAGAGTGGTCTCAGCATGGTGGTGGCTGGTCCTGGAGGTCTTCGGCTGCCGGAGCCCCGGTCGGGGCGGGGAGGAAAGCTCAACCCGCTCCCCTCCAAGGGGTCCCGGCGAGGGACACCCAGGCGCGGGGGCAAAAGACTGCAGTGTTCTCGTCCGGCCAAGACTCAGAGACTATAAAATCCAGATCCGGGAACCGCGCGGCCGCACGACATCTTATCAGAACTTTTTTTTTATGACATCTTATTATCTCATTCCTACTTTGGACAAACTTGCAGGCTATCGAATGTAGCCTGCCCACAGGGCAGAGTCTGGCAAACTCCCCGTGGCCTACCAAATATGTCAAATACCAGTAACAATGATGGGTCTCATTCTCCTAAAGAGCCGTGAATATAATCTCAGGGCTAGGATGAAAGAGACGTTACTGGGGCCTGCTCGAGGCAATCAACGATTAACAGGATGATGAAATGAAAAAATGAAAATTATGAGACCCAAACCTTTGGAAGGATAAAGGATTCTTATAGCTCTAGCTCCAACTCCCATCATTTCCCCACTGACATTTTAAACCCACATCACTGTTCAAAAAGCCACACCATGTCATATGTCTGCTTGCAGTTTGTCCACCTGCATGAATGTAGGGAGGTGGGAAATTTGACCTGCATGTATGGAGGGAGGTGAGGTGCTGACCTGCATGCATGGGGGGAGGTGGAAAAGTTGACCTGCATGTGTGGAAGGAGGTGGGGTGCTGACCTGCAATGTAAGTAGGGAGGTGGGAATGTTGACCTGCATGTATGTAGGAAGGTGGAAATGTTGACCTTTGTATGTGAAGGGAGGTGGGACTGTTGACATTCACATATAAAGGGGGGGGATGGAATGTTGAACTTCATGTATGTAGGAAGGTGGGAATGTTGACCTGAATGTATATAGAGGGGGGTGTGATTGCCTACAGCTTCATGATAAGACTCAGGTAAGGAACACCTTTCCCTAAAAAGCCAGTACTTTCTCTTGTCACTTTGGACATTATCTTCCGGGATTTTCCTTTTCCCTTTAGAGTCTCCATACATGATCTTAGCAACTATCACAATGCAATGCTATTATGGTTACATGCAATCTTGCTTTGGAGTCGGGAAAAGAGAAAAGACATAATGTTCATCTCTCAGTGTCTATCATACATTGATGGAACATTGGAATGAATTTATGATTTTTATAGCAACTCAAACAGATTAAAATAGATTTTTTTAAAGTCTGCTCAGAGGACAACTCCTTAATAGGTATTGCTGAAATCTACTATATGGAGTTAGAACTGAGAAGTGCAAATGTTCCCTAGTAAAATTATGTCTGACGACTCATGTCTCGGAGAGCCCGGCAAGCTACCAAGAGTATCTCGCCCGCACAGCAAAGCCTGGCAAGCTACCTGTGCCGAATTTAATATGCCAAACACAGTAACAACAAAGCCTCACAATGGAGACATTACTGGGCCCGCTCGAGAAAATCGATGAACAACGGGAGGACAGTGACAGTGACAGTGACTCATATCTTGTTTTCAAAAAAAAAATTGGTAAGGAAAAATACTGGGATCAAATTTTATATGAATTATAACATGAAAAATAGTAAGATCTATAAGGATATAAAAAAGCAATAGATTAGAAAACAGATAATGTATTAAATAAATAAAATGTATTAAAATATTCATGCTCACTAGCATTGTAACAAGTTCTAATTAAAACAAAAATTATTTTCTGTATATTAAATTTACAAAAACAAAGCTTAAACAATAATTCCTAGTGTTAGAAAAGATAGGAAAAGGGACATTCATTGTATATTAAAATTTTTCAGAAAATCTATTAAGACACAACTTGGCAATATGTAGGAAGAACCTCAAAAATCTGTACAATAGGGGACTGGAGTGATGGTAAAGTAGGTAGGGCATTTGCCTTGCATGCAACCAACCGGTTTTGTCCTGGCATCACACATATTACCCCACGCACTGTCAGGAGCAAAGAAAATTTGTTGACTCCTAGTCTATAAGCTCAACCTGAGAAATAAAAGTTATCTTATACGAAAGTAATTTCAGAAGAAGTACTATTTCTATGTTATCATTCAAGGTCAACTATCACAAGATAACCACTTTCATTAAAGAAGAGTTCCTACGAGAGCAACACACTGCAGATATGCCTCTGTACCCCCTGCCAGACTGTCTTATCTGGGGCAACCCAGAGGGGGTGAGTCTCCCAACCTGCCCCAACAGAGCCCCAGCAGCTGAAAAGCTTCAGAACTCAATCACCACCATGCTCGTAGCCAATCTCCACAGGCTTGGATAAGCTTTATCCATGAGTGAATCTGCTGAAAAACCCAGGTATGCAGAACTTGTGACTGAAATCTCCAGGCTCGCACAGAGTTGGAAATGTGCAACCTCACCCATCTCCCTGTGTTTCAGGTAACTTGACAGTCACACTCAGGAACTGCATCTGACTCCAGATAAGCTCATTAATGGCCATGATCCAGAGACTCAGAAATAAATCTCTTGGAAGAGAGCTACGCAAGAGCAACAAGCCACAGACATGCCTCTGGACCCCAAAGTCACCATCCAGTTAAAAAAAAAAGTACAAGAACTTCAGCTGCATTCCTGGAGTGACATCTCATACTCTATACCACTGACTTACAAAGAGTAGTATACCACATTTTATGGAGTGTAAAGCAGAAGGCAACCAATCTTGGAAAGAAAGAAAAATACATACACACAATATATTTGTATATATGTATATATATAGATATACACACATTTATATATTAGCAGACAAGCCTCAACCTTAAACAACATGTTAGTAATATCTTATACAAGGCTTAATGGCTCCAGGGTAAAATACAACAATCTTCACATACTTTAAGGAAACTTTTTTGGACTCATGTTTAGCAGATTATTCAGATTCGGTCCTGCTTTCGGGACCGGCTTTGGGGATTGAGGTGGAAACATTTGAAATATGGTAGTGGGAACGTGTAATGATAGTGGAATTGGCGTTGGAATATTAAATCTAATACATTATTGTAAAGAACTTTTAAAAAAATAAATAAAATTTAAAAAGAAGAGTTTCTATAGCCCTAGGAGTATAATTTTACTAACTGCCTCCTGACATACTCTGACAATCACTGGATTAAAAATTCCTATGATTTCTCAATTCACATGAAGAAAATCATGATGTATAACCATACAGTAATGTCTCCATGAAACGCTTCTGTCCAATATAAAGGCATTTTATGAAAATAAAAGCTACACCTATTTTCATTGCCTAATACTGAATTATTTGAAGAGCATAAATAAAACTATATATGAAAAACTGTTAGGGCTGGAGAGACAGCACAGGGGGTAAGGTGCTTGCCTTGCACGCAGCCAGCCCTGATCCCTGGCGCATCAGGAATGACTCCCAAGCACAGAGCCTGCTGTGACCCCCAACCTCTCTGAGCATGACCCCTGAAAACAACAAGATCATTTTAAACAGTGCCTTCCAAGTGGGGCTCGGGGCTCGCTCTTGAGACATTCTGTCTGGAGGGTTTGGCCTGATGGTCAACCTGTTAGAGGGGTTGGCTCAGGGTCCATCTTGCAGAGCAGCTCAGGCCAGCAGTGCTACTGTCCCTGAAGTACCCCAGCAGGGCTGGGGAGACCAGTGCCAGGAACCAACCAAGTATAGCACAGGTAAAAACACTGCAGGCAACCTCCACTGGGCACAGGACAAAGAGCTGTCATTCCTCACCAAGTCTGTAGACTGCGTTTAGATGCTCTGTGAATATTTTTATTTAGAAGTAAATGATCAAATCAGATGACTAGTTAAACAGAAATAAAATGTAGATTAAAACTCTGAAACCTATTATTTGAATTTTCCTACCCCCACCTCCCAGCCCCCATTAGAATAGGCCACGAAGGCAGTAGTTGTAGGCATTACACCTTTTGCCAACTGTAAATACTTTGCCTTAGTTTTTCAAAATACCTAAATAGACCTTTTTAAAGACTTATTCTATAATCATTATTTTGGGAAAATTGATATAGTGTAAATCTCTGGAAAATTAGATCTAAAGTATTTTTTATTTAAATTCTCCATTATTCCCAAAACACAAAAAACACAAAGCAATATATCATCTTTTAGAAAAGGTTTGATAATCACAGTAGAAATCTTAGATTTCTACTAAGAAAAATTGAATATGCAAATCCACCCTTTAAAAGCAGATTTTATAATTCACACATCACAGAGTCACTGATACACTGAAAACCTGCCCTTGGCCGCCATATCTAGGCAGCTGGGTAACTGGAGTCAACCCCTAATGCAATGAATCTCGGTTTCAGCATCTCTAAAAGGAGGTGGTCAGAAAAGCCTCATCTGGCCTATGTAGATCAGTATTTTTCTGATTCTATGGCAATGAACCTTTTATAGACTAATAACAGCTCTCCAAATCCTCTACTTAAGTCTTTAAAACTCTTCTGACCTACGTAAGTCAGTAAGAATGTGATTTGCAGTTATTACCTATTTGTAATCATAAGGACTGTCTTCCTCTGTCCAGCAACAGCACAATGGCATCGATACGTCTCTCCTTCTAGCTTTTTGACATGATTCTGAAAAGAAAATCCGACTCAAGATTTAGACAGTATATACATTCAACTAGTATTTCCAAAAGTGCTTACTAAGCTACTTAATAATAATAAGTTATGATAATAGTGCTAGTTAGGAAACATTACTGAAAGGAAAAACTCAATCCTTACACATCTGACAAGTGAAATCTAGAAAAATATTTAGCATAAGCTTTTATAAATTAACTTCCACTGTGCCTTAAAACACAAATACATGTTTTAAATTATTACTAAATGATTTTCGTGTAAAATGCATTTGATGTTTTTAGATAACAAAATGTTTTTAGGTAACAAAAGATTTAAAATGTCTACCAATAATAATGGTGCATTTTCATTAATGAAAATATAAAATAAACAATTATAAAACTGTGACATTAACATTACAAGTATTCTTAAGCTGGGGTCTCTGGAGAACTTTGGAAGGCATACAAACAATATAAAATATAATATTAATTTCTATTTTATGTGAAAAAATGTGGTACTGCAAAATTTTCAGCTAATATCTTTCATCAGATATTTTTAAAGGGGCCTGTGATCCTTTTTAAAGATTAAAAACCACTGATTTACATAGCAAAAGATACATAGCAAAATTTCAAAGTAACTGACATTTAATGTTTGAATATTTGGTACTATGCAGTGACAATGGGGAAGCAAATATGAAAGTCTCTAAGATCTTAAATAGTATTTATTGCTAAAAACAATTACAAGCATAAAATAATTCAAGTATAAATGGCAGAACATTAAAATACATTCATTTTCTTTTTTAATCCCAAAACTTGACTGGAATTATTTAATGTATACATTAAAACCAATAAAGTAGCTCTTTAAAAATGATTGCTAATGCATCATTACTGACATTAATTATAATGCTTGATAAAAGATCAGATAATATATATGAAAATACAGACCACACATACCTAATAAAAGGACTTTAACATTTTAAAACTAAAACTACAACAATAATGCTATTTAGAAGATGACGTAATCAATGACAATTGCAAGCAGAGAACAATTATTTCAATGCTGAAATGCACATTTTTTAAAGTTACTTGGTTCCGGTAATTCTTCGACCAATATGAAAACCCATGAATAAGAAAAATCAATCTCCACAGGACAGGGAGTTCACCCACAGTACGAGTCTCACAGAGGAGAAGAGTTTCAGTCACTTCTTTCACATTTTGCCTGACTTGATTAGCTAAAATCTTAAACATTTACAACTTAATTTTGGGGGGCCAAACTTGGCAATGCTCAGGGATTGTTCCTGGCTCTGTGCCCAGGGCTCACTTCTGGTGGTGCCCAGGAACCATATGAGGTACCAGGGATGGAACGCAGGTTGGCCCCATGCAAGGCAAGCCCCCTACCTGATGTACTATCATTCCAATCCTTTATGCCTTCATTTCTTTTTTTTTTTTCAAGAGAAAATAGGAATTTTGTTTGCTTGCATTTGGGTCACAGCTAACTGTGCTTAGCACTTATTCCTGGTTCTGTGCTCAAGGATTGCTCTTGGCAAAGCTTACGGAGCAAATGGGGTACCAAGGAGACCACCACAAGGCAAGTGCCTTACATGCCATACTATTTCTCCGGCCTCCAAATGAGAAATTAACATAAAATTTAGTACCTTTATTTTCAGCTTTGAAATTTAAATACATAAAAACATTTAGTTTTGAGATGCAATATACAAGTATGATAGATGGTACCCACTTTCCATCACGTATGCATCTTCGTTAGCATTTAGGCTATTGTGCTTTAAACAACTGAAGTCTTTTAAGATATTATTATTACGATCTCACATTATAAAGTCCTTAAATATTCACTCTATTCTGAGATTTAGATTAAGATATTCATTCACTGATGTCAGCAGCAAAGTAAATTAGTTGATAAAATATTCAACTACCCTTTCCAGAATGCAACTTAAAGAATTTAGTGTTTAGCAAAAAACATTCTAATTTTTCAAGTAAATTTTAACAAAATAACACAAGATATGAAAAAAGAAATGTGTATAATGCATTTATTATGGTTAGTAAATAAGAGAAAAAGCAACTTCACCGTGCAAGAAAAGGGAACGGTCCAACATAATTTAAGGTTACTTCTCAAAAGATGGTAATGCAAGAATTAAGAATAAAGCATTTCTATTATGATGAAAAATGTAGTTTAAAAGCAAATGCAAGTAACAACATTTTTAATAATATATCAACTTAATGTGAGCTAATATGAATATCAAATTAAAACTGGCAAAACATATGTGTGTATATATAAATACGTAGCCTATGTATGTGCGTAAATATATTTGAATGTATATGCAATCTAATTTTCCGAAGAGAACAAAGAATATCAGAAAAGTATATCTTATAAAAATCTAGTATATGATTCCACAACTTCCACAACTAAGTATTCAAAACATAGAGCAATAGTCAGGAGAAAAATAAGATGGGGTAAATAAAAATATTCAGAAATAAATTATTTGAAGTGTACTCATATTTCAAAGTCTAGCAAAACAAAAATTAAGCTCTAGCACTCTTCATTGAGTATTTACACATTTTGCTACATATGCTTAGTCCCTTAAGGACAAAGGCCTTATTTATTTTGCATATCCAACACTGATTACAGCAAGATAAACAAGAGATACAAATTCTAAACATCTTAAATTTCAGTGTATACCCTTGTCGCTTAAGAAAAAGAAATTCACCACTTCCTCTCATTAAAGTACAAACCTTCTAGTTTTTCAGTAACTATAATAATATAAGTTAAAAAAAAGTTGCTCTTAACAAAATAAATCAAGACAAGATGATTATATTTAGCTAAAATAATAAAAAGTGTAAGTCTATGCTTCTGATGTGCAGTTGTGAAAAGGAAATCAAAGGAAAAGTTAGTAACATAGAGAGTTAAAAAATAAAGTCAACGATGAATAAAGAAAAAGATTTTACAAGTTAAATGCTTTCTCAAATGTCTCACTAAAATTGCAATATATCCAGGAAAATTTTAAAAAACTGTTGCTTTTACCTAAGAAGGAAGGGTAATTATTAGTGATGATTTAAGACAGCATCTTGAATTAGTTATTGTGCTTGATTCCCATAGGGAACTCTACACGCGGTGACACTTTTTGCCAACCCTCAATTATCTAGGCACAAGAAAAGTTCGTCAGCTACAAACTGAAGTTGGTCTTTGAATGTTGTTCTTTTGTTTGTTTAAGCATGAAGCATTCAATTTATTTTACTGATACCTATAGTTTTAAGAAACATACAATCTAACTGAGCAACTCTACATGAATGATTTCATGCTCTGCAATGTACAATAACTAAATCTAAGTTTAAATTTTGATTTTGGTTTGGGGAAGAAGCAAGAAAGTTACTAAGTATGACACTGTTATATCTAATTACACATTTCTATCATTTATGTCACAAAGGTCAAAACAATTAAGAAAACTAATTATGGAATACTAATTTCAATTATAGTTCATAATTATTTTTGTACTTATTAAAACAGTAAATTCTCTGAGAATTTAAAAGACAAAAAATTTTAAAATCAAATATCTGTAGATTCAATTACCACAAATTTATGGCATCCAGTAAGGAGATACCATCTTTATTTGATTTTGGGTCCATACCTGGCAGTGCTCAGGGCTTACCCTGGCCCTAGGTTCAGGTGGTACTCAAGGAGCCATATAAAGTGCCAGAAACTGAATCATGACTGGCTGTGCTGAAGATAAGCCCTTTACCCTGGTACTAGCTTTCTGATCAAGGAGAGTCCATTTTTTAAAAGCATCAGTACTGGGCTTGCTCTTCAGATCTGTGTTCTCTTCAAGGGGGAATGTGTATCTCCCTTGCTCGTCTCTGTGTGTCTTTGCTTTTCGCCTCTGGAGAAGCTTGTGTTCTCTCTTGAGTATACACGTCTCCTTTTTCTCCCCTCACATCTTTCTAAATAAGTTTCAATAAAAAGTTATCTTGCTTCACAAAAAATAAAAGTATAAATACTAAAGACTGAGGATGTAATGGCATAGTTATAAGATTATTGCCATTTACCTAGCAACTGGAGTTGAAAAAAAGAGAAAGGAAAATAAGATTAAAGGAAAATATGCTCAAAACTCATTTTCCAGCTCGTACTTTAGATCTAAGGAGATGCCCTTAACTGAAATTGATATTCTATAACATAAGCAAATAGGGTGATTTGTGAAACAGTTATGTACATTATCAGGACTCGCAAACATTACAATACTTGTAGAATGCACATAGTGAACAGAATATTAATTATCATTTTGTCCCAAATTTACCTATAATGCACATGAATTAAGAAAAGATAACATTCTTCAACATGAGAATAAAAGTTTCTGCTTAGGAACTCAATAGTCTTTCACTCACTAAATGGAGAAGAGAATGGATTTGCTCTGTCCTCTAATATATCATATTGCTCTCTTATTCCTACACACTACTACCAGGCATATCCCCATTTTTCTTTACAGTCAAGCCATTTAGGATAAAAAGTTAAAGAAGGGATAAGAACTGTAAAGAAAACTTCATCAAAATGGATTTTCAATCTAAATAAATCAAAGACAGTCAATTAATACCACAGTTTGTTTTGATTACAAAGGATGAAATCAAGTAGTATAGGAAACATTTACTCCTGTATTTCCAGTTCTTGCTGTGTAGGCAGAAAAAGAAAGAAAATAAAGTTAGAAGCATGCAGAAAGACAAATTGGAATCACATACAATAAAAACTGAAGACTAAGAACAATGAGAAGTCATTTATATTAAAGTCAAAGTATAAAACAGTATATTTACTTGGGGCCAAAGCTCATTATGGGAGAACTGTAATCTATAAGCACATATTATATAAATCCAGTAAAGTCAAACCTAAAAATAAAAGCAAATAAATAAATAAATAAAAAACCTCTAAACAGTTTTTAAGCCTTAAAAAGATTATAAGCATCCATAATCTTTTTTTCTCTCTTCCATCTTCAGTATACCTGAATAAATCTAGATAATCTAAATGAATTCATTTGGTTGGGAGAGAAGGAAGCCATAAAATGTCAGTGTTTAGCTACAAATCAGGAAACCAAAGTGAACAATGTTAATTAAATGAGCAACTAACAAATAGGGAAAGGGAAAAAAATGTATGTGGTTTCTTCTAACACTCTTTCTGCACACACACATAAAGGTTTGTTCCTGTGCAGAAAACAAATGCCCAGTTATTCCTATGTAACAAATTCCTGTTCTACAAATCATGTTCCCTGTAGTCCTAAAAGAAGGTCATGAACTAGGAACTTAAATTAAAACTTCACCCATGAAATTCTCGTTCTAGAAATTTTTAAAATAATATTTCACTTGGAGTTACAAAGAAGAGGATTCAGACCTCAAATAAGTCATAGCCCTCCGATTCCTGCCGGTCGTAGGGACGAATGATGCCATCCTCACGGATCAGGCGAGGCGGACGGAGGCTTGACACTTCCTCAGTGGATTCTGCTGCCCTGGAAAAGGTTTAAAGAGGATGAGAGCAGGTGTGAGATGATGTCAAAACACCACAAATGTGTATAGTAAATAAGCGACTCGTCCATATTTTCTTAGTAATTGACAAAAGCAGTCAGAAAAATTCTATATAACTTGCACTAGCTGAGTATTAAAGCCCAGATTCCAAACTCCTGCCTTTTCTTACAGATCGTCTACTCTGAATACATGCTTTTCTGCAAAGCTCCTAGGCTCTAGCAGTCTGCTAAAACACTTGTTGAATAAAAGGGAAACTGAGCCATGAAAACTGTTGTTTGAGCCCTTTCTGGTGCACCCCAGCTGAGAGCGCATTCTGCCTGTGACCTACTCAGGTGGCCCCAGTCAGCAGACACTCATAACCCGCACACAGCATCCTCACTCACCTCTGAATCCCCTGGAAGGTGCTGCTGGCCATATCTATGATGCCGCCGGTCGGGCGTGCCACGGCGCCCACCAGTCCCTTCCCGATCCCTTTAAAGAATCCTGCAGCTCCTTCCTTTTTGGCACCTTTATAAAAGCAAAAACAATGCATGCATAGAGATATTTTAAGATAAGCAAGACTGGGTTCGCGCTTCAAGGCCAGGCTCTCCCTTGAACACGGATCTCGCTTGCTTGGCTCTATATCTCGTTGGCCTGCAGCTTTTTCCACTCTGAGGTGCTCTATTCTCTTTTGAACATGTATTCCCTTCCTTCTCCTCCACTCACATCTTTTAAAGTAAGTTTTGTTCAATTAAAAACTATCTTGCTTCACTGAAAATATAAAATCAAATAAGCAAGTTTAAGTGCAACAAAGGTTTGCACCAAACACTGAACCCTCTAGCCCAGGAAGCTTCTAGAATGTGACTTTTTAAAGAAGATAAACTTATCCATGACCTGCATACAAAGGAACAGTGGCCATAATGCATGGTGAAACTGCAAACCCTGGCCCCACTTCCAGACCTGTGGAGACTCTAGGATACGGCACCACAGCCTGTGGCTTAACAAGGCCGGTTGGCAACCACAAGATGTGCTAAGTTTACAACAACTGATACAGCAGTTCAGCCAGTACCTGTGACTACTGGGTCTAAGGACTGAACAGACAATCATCCTTTTCTAGATATTAGAGGAAGATTTATGCAGACTACATGTTTATGTATATTCAAAAACACACATATAGAAGTAGAATACGCTGGAGTTATAGCACAGCGATAGGGCGTCTGCCTTGCACGCAGCCAATACGGTCAACCCGAGTTCAATTCCTCTGCCCCTCTCAGAGAGCCCAGCAAGCTACCAAGAGTATCTCGCCCGCATGGCAAAGCCTGGCAAGCTCACTGTGACGTATTCGATATGCCAAACACAGTAACAAGTGTCACAATGGAGACGTTACTGGGCCTGCTCGAGCAAATAGATGAACAATGGGAGGACCGTGACCATGATAGAAATAGAATTAATATATTTTATCATAGTCTAATATATACCTTTTAAAAATATAACTCACATTCTATATGTCATCCACATGCCTATTAAACTGTACAGAACAAACCATAAGCATACTGACTTCGACAACAACCACATTGAAAATTTCTTTTTGTATCATCTCAAGAGAAAAAATCCCACCCACAGCCATTAGATATCAGCTCCCATTTCCCTGACCTATCAGCGATGATTCTCTGTGCCTCTGCGTTCATGCTCCCCACTTCCCTGCTATGAAGTCCGTGAGCTACCCTCCATCTTCATGAAAATCCTGGGTAGTTCCTACAAACACAATCAGGCAGGTACGCAGTATTTTGTGTCTGTCTTTTTTCACTTAGCAAATGCTTTCAGGGTTCATCCATACTTGTTTCAGTCCTTGTTTTATTCCTGTTGTTGGACGCAATCCACACACAGTATATGAATAGGCCATATTTGCCTATATGCATTCGTTATGGAGATTTGGTTTGCTATTATTTTCTATCATGCCATTACCTTTTTGCTATTACTAGCTATCATGACTGATATTATTGATGGACATTTATATCCAGGTCTTTGAGTGAACATATGTTTTCAGTTCTCAAGAAGTGAGGCTGCTGATATACACATCAACTCAGTGGTTCTATAAAATTTCCAGCACCATTTGTTGATACGATTATTCTTTGTTTATAGAATTATCTGGGCACCATTATCCAGGATCAACTGACTCCTAAACTGGGGCTTATCTTTATAAAATCAGTTCGAAGCCATGGATGGAATATCTGTACGCTAGTACCATACTCTTGAAGTTATGCAGTAATGGTTTTATAGCAAGTTTTTAAATTAAATAATGCAAATCTTCCAGCACTGTACTTTTAAAAATTATTCTGGCACTTGGAGTGTTTGAATTCCACATGTATTTAGAATCAGCTTGTCAGTTTCTGCAGAGAAATCCACTGGAATTTTGATAGGGATGTCAGGAAATAAAATAAACCAATATTTTAATAGGATAAAAATATTCATTTTATTATGTCTTGAGTTCTCTTTTCAGAGGGGTCTCCTACAGGCCTGCAAGTGAATCAAGGGCCTGAGGATGCAGTGCTGCAGGCCTTGGTGTGCTCAGAGGGCTAAGGACGATTTCCTTTTAAAATGAATCCACTGCTCCTGAGGGCCCAAAGGAATCTATTTTTCTGTAAAAACAGCACTGGAAGGCTGAATCATAGTCTGTTACTTTATCTTTCTACTTTGGAAAAAAAGCCCATTCATTAAGCAATTAAAGACTATCAATATAAGAACATTAAAGCCAGTAATTCAATCTAACAGCGAGCAGCAATCACATCTTACTACATTCACCATGCATCAACTATTCGACTCTACACAGAAGAACAGGGACATTCTCACCCACCTTCCACGGGCTTTGTTATTATTCCAGTCACTCCACCAACAACCCCCTGAAAGAGAAACCGGTCATTAAGGCAAGCCTGACCTGAATGGGAGATGTTGCATTTTAAACCAACCACTAGAGGTCTCCACAGACATACCAGAAATAGTCTTTAGATCAAGACTTTCTGCTGCTGTTTTTGTTTTGGTTTATTTTTTAAAATTTGGCTTCTGGGCCATACCCACCAGTACTCAGGGCTTACTCCTGGCTCTGTGCTCAGGGATCACTCTTAGCGGGGCTCAGGAGACCATATATAGTGTCAGGGATCAAATCCGGGTTGGCCATGTGCAAAGCAAGCACCCTACCCACTGTACTAATGCTCGGCCCAGGAGGACTTTTTGTGAATATGGACTTAAGAGCAAGCATTATAATTTTAAGAATATATAAGTATTTTAAATGAAAACCTCTTGCAGAAGTAAGGTTTTATAATAGGAAAAACCCTGTAAAACAGTGATGATGTTAAATTTGGCTGTGGCATCAGTCATATAAACATGGAGAGCAGATCCTATCTCTTGAAGTCTCAGTTTCTCCATCAGCAAAACGAGTGAACAGAGCCAAATAAATAAAAGTCTAATGATCGTTTTTAATGCAGTGGAACTGAGAATACTGAAAATGAAAGCTCCCTGGAGGAAGGCAGAATCTCAGAGATTGCCGGATGCTCTCCTTCTCCTGGGGCATGCAGGGAGCCAAGGTACAGACCCTGTCAAATGATAAACTCTGCGGACTTGGGCTGTGGACAGAACTCCAGATCAGGAGAGCAGGTGGTCGAGAGCATGACCCTGGGGTGGGGTGTGTGTGTGGGGGGGGGGGGGGTCTTGGACACATTGGTGGTGAGGAGAGATGGAACTGTGTGCCCGAGACCATAAATGTCAGCACTGCTGTAAACACACTGCCAACTATAAACATGCCTGTCATGGTGGCGGGCTGGGAGGCAAGGAGGCAGTGAAGGACACGTGGGAATGCAGGTAGAGGGTAATTGACTCTGGTGGTAGGATGGTTCTAGAACACTCTATGCCTAAAATTCAACTGTCAAGAATGTTGTAAACCATGGTTCTTTAATTAAATTTTTAAAGTGTTTAATTCAAAAGAAATAAAAAAAAGAAAACTAAATACATTTAGAAGTCATGATTATTGTAACATTAAAACTTTTGTTAATTTAAAAACTAACAAATAACAGCAGAGGAGAAAACACTCAACATTATAAATCACCAGCACAAACTCAACAACTACAATTTCTTGAAATTATTTCCAGAATTATCAAGGACAAGTAATGGCAATTATCAATTATCATTATCAAGTTATGACAGGAACTAAAGTGACCTGCAGTGTATATAAACACAAAGAGAATTGGAGGACGCACACATAGCACTGGGGACAGGCGAGGGGTGCCCAATAATGGCTCCTGTCCTTAGTGAAGGAGTGTAAGTTCTTAGGATCATTTATAAGAAAAATGTTGACATAACGTTTGTGTAATTAAACAGTATTTGTAAACTTCCGGTACCGTTGCTAAAGTGCTTCAAGTCGATGGCATTCCACTTCTTATGGACTGAACACTAGAACTTCTCTACTCTCTTGCTCCCTCCCAGACTGGTCCCTGCCTGCCGTCATTACTGCTTCCACCCTAGCCAAGTGTTGACGCAGTCTGGAATTTGGGGGGTTAAGTCTGGTGGTGATTAACCAGGAAAGGGACAAAGGCCAAAACTCCCCGCTGGCCCCTAGGACTACTCTGACAGACCAAGTGTTTCTAGCAGAGTCCGGTCAGCCGCCAACGACCACCAGAGTGGCTGCGGGTGCTGGAGACTCAAGATACTCACGCGCAGGAGGCCCTTCCCTCCTCTGGCCAGGCTGTCTCCGAAATCCTTAGGCTGCCGACCCATCTCTTCTCTTCTCTTTTGCTGATATTCCTTGTCCATTGTAATTGCTGCCAGTCCTTTCCCGACAGAACCAGTGATGCGAGACACAACTCCCGCGGCGCCCCCTGCAGAAGCACAGAGACTCAGCACAGGGTTCAGTGTGTAGCACCATAGTACACAGCATGCCAGTGATGCAGGGGCTGGCTCACGTGAAAAGACACAGACCTTTACATCCATGGGGAAGAAAAGAAACTCTTTAAAATATACGGTCACATCACGAAACAGACAGACAAAACTTCTAAGCAGTCAATGTTAAATTCTTTTCCATTTGGGAACAAGGAAACACATCTTTCAAAAAGGGGCTGTGAGAAGTAATTCATCTTTTATTATATACAATCATTAATTTCTCACCAATGACATGCTCTATAGAACTTTACTATCTATAGTATATCTGCAATTCATATGGACATGTACACAATGTAACTGTGTATACTCTGCATGTATGTATACTTGCATGCACATTGCTTTACCATCTGTATTGTGTGTGAATACTTATGTGCACGCACACAGCTTTACTGTTTATACTATATGTGTACGAAAAAGTACTTGCATGCACACAACTTTGTACTGTGTGTGTGAATATATATACACATGCACACACACAAATATCCGACACTTACCTACAGTGTGTCCAAAAAGACTTCTTACTCCAATCACTAATCCCTCAGCAAATTCTTCAGGGCCCTGAACAGCACCCTGGACAAAAAGAGGTTTTTCTGTTTGTTTGTTTAAAACTGAACACTCTTAAGACTTTTACTCTAGTACTTGAGGGTTTCCATGAAGAAACACATTCAGTTAGGGCCCAGAGATGCTCCAGAGACAGCCTCCACCCTCTGACCAGCACTGATGGAGCAAGAACTTGCGCACTTGAAGATCATTTTGTTCTCGGGGCTTTCAGATGATTGGCGGCCCCTTCGGATAACAAATGCTGGACAGAAGCTGATCTCCAATTCCAAACCCATCAATCACAGCCTACAGCCTCCCAGCCGCAAGGGCCTTCCTGTTTCTGAGCAACCAGACCACTTGCAGGACGGACCATCCACATGGTTTGGCTCTTACCCTCCCCGCTACTGTCTCCCCTTCTAAAATGCTTACTGCTTTGGACTTACGGATCCTTTCAATGGTGGTTGTAGGAAAGCTTGAATACGAAACAAAACCAGCTTTTCATGTCCCTCCCATAGTGATCTTAAAATGGTCTTGATCTACCCAGTTCTCTTCCTCCAAACTACATTAAACCCTGGGAATATGGGGCATGTTTTATTGCCCAGACACCAGACCTACACAGTTCTAAAACATTGTATATTCTATATTCTATATTCTCTTAAATACTTTAAATAAAATTATAAAAATGATGCTGTGAGATCTGAACATAACTCAGTTTCCAAATAAACTAAACTGAAATTATTTGTCCTCTTCTATGGGAAAGCCTATCCATTTCCCTAGACCTACACGTAAATCAAAGAGCAGTACCTGGAAGGGTTCATAGAACAAAGCTTCGACACCTTCAGACAGACCTCTGATTAATCCAAATGGGTTTCCGAGCACATCTAAGCCCAACACAAGGACATACATCTGTTTCAAGAACTAAAGGAAAAGAGAACATTACTTTGACAAACTGCCACGAGAATTGTCATGATGCAGTAGGAAAGAGGGTCTAGAGAGATTGCATTGGGCTGTTTCAGGAAAACTACAGAATAATCACCACTATGCCCATTAATCAAACTTTCTATGCTTGGTATGGGTCCAGTGTTTAACATGGGGTTTTCATGTAGGACAGAACTAGATCAGTCTGTGATAGCGTTGCATAAAGGCAAAATGACAGAACAGCTCAGACTGTCATTATGGAACGCAATCATGCGGTGTCACTCCTCGTCATTTAATTTCTACAGACCACAGTCTTCTCATCTATAGAAGTGGGAGGTTTATCACACTGACCTTGTATAGCTGAGTATGCATATTAAGTGAATATAAATCAGAATTGTTAGCCATTTTTATTATTATGAACATAAAATTATACTAGATAAGGAATAATTAAGAATAAAAAAGAAATGAAAACATATCTTCATTTTTACATGTAACACCCATAATGTGTATACATTCCTTGGAGAAAATGGTCTTTGATCAGAGAAAGAAAGGTTCATGGTACTGTGAGATAGAATCATGCTGAAGCCACCTGTGGCCTCTGGGTACACAACTCAGACCACAGAGGAACTGAGGCACCAAGACAGGGTTGGCTTAGAATCCTTACCACAATTCTACCAGACCATGCTTAGAAGCCAGAGTCATGGTCACGGTCCTCCCGTTGTTCATCGATTTGCTCGAGTGGACCCAGTAATGTCTCCATCATGAGACTTGTTGTTACTGTGTTTGGCATATTGAATATGTCACGGGTAGCTTGCCAGACTTTGCCATGTGGGTGAGATACTCTCGGTAGCTTGCCGGGCTCTCCGAGAGTGGTGGAGGAATTGAACCCAGCTGGGCCAGGCCGGCTGCGCAGAAAGCAAATGCCCTACCACTGTGCTATCGCTCCAGCCCAGAAGCTGGAGTAAATGAGGAAATCAAAGGGTCAGGCCTCCTAAACCACACAGAAGGATAAAGGCAGTGAAGACCAGGCTTAAACAGCCAGCACACTCGTGCCACTCCACCCATCCCAGCAACAGCTCCCCTACAAGGAGGATCAGTAAAGCAAGAGTAGTTTAGGTTTAGTGTGTGTTGTAACAAGCAAGATGAAGTAAACTACTTTGTTCCCACTAAGGAGGCAAGCTTGGGGAGGGGTGGGATACTAGGAACACTAGGATACTAGGTGGTGGGATTGGTGCTCAAATAGGGAACATCTGAAAAAAAACTGTATTTTGAGCAATTTGGTAAATCATAAGGTTTAAATAAAGTTTAAAAAGGGTCCAGATAGTATAGCTCATAGGGGGCTTGCTTTGTACATGATCAGCTTGGGCTTGACACCTAACATCCCATACGGTACACTGAGTACCACCAGGAGTAATTCCTGAGTACAGAGCCAGGAGTAACCCCAGAGCACGCCGAGTGTGCTCCCCCCCCCCAAAAAAAAACACTTTAAAATGGGTGAAATGGGGGAGAAGACCTAAGAAACAAATGGTTCACTGAAGAACACCAGCAATTGGGGAGATTGTGAATCAGGGCAGCTACATAGCACACAGTACAGTCACAAATATTTTGTTTGGTGATTTATGAGATATTTTTTGATGAACAACTAGAATAGGAAATTACCTGTTCGCTGTAATGTCTTACAACACTCCACAGTAGCTGATCTCTATTGTAAAACTGATAGCGAATTTCATAATAAGCAAGTCTGGGAGGACAAATGAAGATTCAAATGATACTAAGATTATATTCTGAAAAACAGAAACTTAAAACTTTATAAAAACGTATCAATCACTGCTAATTCTCTCACCATTACACTGCGTATCTACCACATATATTTTGGTCTTACTGTGGCAACAAATTACAAAACTAGTGCATTCTCATAAAGTCTTTAAAAATATATTCAAAAAGACAATTTTTTGGTTTCAAGGCCAAAATGAGCTGGGGAGACAGTATAAGGATCAGGGCTCACACAGGGATGCCACTGGCTGTAGGTCCGAGGGTGCCTACACTGGACACTGGATCCTAGCACCTCAGGCCCTGCCACTGATCTAGCCAGTGCCATGTTCAAGCCCCCTGGGAGGGGCCCCTTAGGCCCGCTGATCTCCACTTGGGAGGCCCCAAATAAACAGGCACATAGTCAATTACAATCCTACCACATACTGGTGAAATTTTTAGCTTTCTTCTTCTCTTCATTTGTCAATTTAAATTCTCTTTTATGTGTAAGGTAAAGGTAAAGGTAAAGGCCCTCCCGTTGATCGTCGATTTGCTCGAGTGGGCCCAGTAACGTCTCCATTGGAGACTTTGTTGTTACTGTGTCTGGCATATCGAATACTCTCGGTAGCTTGCCGGGCTCTCCGAGAGGGGAGGAGGAATCGAACTCGGGTCCGCTGTGCTATCGCTCCAGCCCCTTTTATGTGTAATTTTTAAATATTTCACATGCGTTTTTGTTTGGGGGGCCACACCGGAGGCCCTGGCTTACTCCTGGCTCTGTGCTCAGGGCTCACTCCAGGGGACCATATGTGGTATAAGGGACTGAATCCATGTTGGCTGAGTGCAAGGCAAGTGTCTCAGCACCTGTACTATTTCTCTGGCCCTGCATTTTCACACTTCACATTGTGGACTGGAATTTCTCTCAGTTACCAAAATTCTAGGAACTACTTTTAATGAATGAGTGTTATCCATTAACACAAACATGTCATGACAAGCAATTCTTCTACTCTCAAATTTTGGCATAATATTTAACATTGTGGTGTTTACCTTGATTATAACATTTAGCTGCATGTTGGTTTTTAGAAGAAATTCCCCAAAGAATTATTACCAAGTGAAAGACTAAAATTAATTTGGGGGATGTCAATCCAAAACATAATCTTGAAATGCAACAGAGTATTTGACTAATTATCTATAGGAATCAGATACAGATTCAAGTATGTCGATTCCTTCCCAGTCATACAAATAGTAAAAAAAAAAAAGTGCCCATTTCTTAAGCCCACCACTCCTTGGTATTAAAAACATATTGCTTATATTTTTAATTCTTTGATAATTTTCTTTAACTGACATAATGTCATTGACAAAAAATAGATATTTCAAATACTACTGATAACTAAATACAAATTATTTTACTGACCTTTGTCAACTATGACATTGGGTTTTCTTATAAATGCTCACTATTAAGACAATTTATCCCATCATACTGGTTATTTCATTTCCCTAGATTTTAAAAAATTATTTTCAATGACTGTGTTGTAGACTACTTAATTTTACATAGTCAAATCTATTTCAATATACCATTGAACTTTTTCATTAGCTTTTAAACTAAGACTTTCTTTATTCAGAGATTTGATGCAAATCAGATATTTTTGCTTAGTCTATCACTTTGTCTTATTTACCCCTTCAGCTGCCAGGAAAATTAGTGGTAAGATGAAAATGAGTTAAATATACATATTTAAAGAGCTTCATTAGAAAGTTTCCTTCAGGTTCAAATAGCAAGATTATCTCTGTTCGAAGCTAACATTCTCCTACAAATAAGGAGAATAGACAGAAAAATAACCTTGGTTCAAGTCTCCCAGTAAGTGATTCTTACTTGAATATAAGGTCATCCACATCTGTAAGAGTCGCACCTATACTTTTCAATAGCAAGTTGATGGAATGAATTGCAATCATTTCTTCTTTCTCTTTGTCTGACTCTTCACCTCCAGAACCCAAAGAAAGACTCAAATGCAACTGAAAGAAAAAAAGAATGCTCAATATATGAAAGTGAAAAACAAACAAAAATGCACATTAAGAACAATTTTCCAAATACAAGCAAATGTTGTATCTTTAGCTATGGTCCTAAACAAAAATAAGCATTGGATGGAGGGAAAGGGTTCCTCATCCTCTTCTGATGGGAATGTCGACCGGTTCAACCTCATTGGAAAACCTCATATGGATACTTCTCAAAAAACTAAATATTACCGCATATAACTCAGCAATCCCATTCCTTGGCATCTACCCCAAGGGCGCCAAACACCATTTAGTAAAGACATTTGTACCCCTGTGTTCATTACAGCACTAGTCACGATAGCCAAAATCTGGAACCAAGACAAGTGTCCAAGATCAGATGACTGGATAAAGAAACAGTGGTGTATATGCACTTTGAGATACTACTAGGATATTAAAAAAAGACAAAATCACTTGATTTTCTGCTATAGAGTATAATGCAAAGTGAAGCTAGTCAGAAGGAGAGGGACAGATACATGATCTGTCTCTGATACAAAATAATCTCCCGCATATGTGGGCTATGAAGTACATAGTTAAAGTCTAAAATAAAAGATCAAAGGTAACAGAACCTGAAAATTAATCTACAGAACTAAGTTTACCAGTGGGGGCAGGGGGGTTGGATGAAAGGAGACCTTGGGACATTTGTGGAGGTAAGAGGATACTCTGGTTAGAGGGTTTGGTATTGCAACACTGCACACATGGAACTCTATCATGAATTGTATTGTAAATCAGCGTATCAATACAATGGAATGCAGGGGGTTGGTGATGGGAGGCTATTATTTGTTACTCTATGGAAGATGAAGGCCAGTTCACTCAGATCTTATTCTCCTACTTTTAAAAATAAAATACAAAGTAGTCTGTTCCAAAAATAGAGTTATATCTTTAACCAAAGTGTATAAATATAATTGTGTTCATATGAAGGGTTTCAAAGCATTTTACACGAACAGCATGATCACTTCAGGGGGGAATAAAAAACACACTGGTACAAAGTGTCCTAAGCTGAAATACTGGGTAATTATTTTTATCCAATTAAGATAACTTATGGCAACAATTAACAGTAAATGACTGTGTTCTAATCATACAGTCATAACAATTATGACAATTAACAAGTTGCTAAATAAAACTTGCAAAGAGTCAGAAGGATCGTAACATCCACCTCCTCTCAGCTCAGTACTTCAACATGACACTTTCACATTCCCATCCAACAGCTGCTCCTTTGAGCTGTGCCATACGTGCAGTAGTGCCAGAAGGACTCAAGCAAAGATACTTCAGGGTACATCAGTAAAACAGATGCCTCTCCCCTCTCACACTGCCACTTGAGCATTTCACCTAACTCTTTCAGAGCTCAACCAGTTGACTTGGGATAAAGCCAAAAAAAAAAAAAAAACCCTGTAAGTTTCTATGTTGACTTGTCCATCTGCAGAGCCAAAGACTTGGGATCCAGATAGGTTAAGTTTAGGTCAGGATCCAGCCTTGCCCTGGGGTAAAGCCGCCATAGAGTAAGAAACTAGCTGTGGCTCATGATTTTCATTATTCAACTACATGGCACAATTCCCCATGTGCCAAAATATATGAAGAGGTAATAACAGTCTTTAATATTCCACTAGATTATAAACTCCACAATATAATTTTATATCTCCCACAACAACTCTGGTATAAGGATTTAGTTAATATTTGTTGAAAGTAGGGTTCAATCTCACAAATGATTTTTATTTGATGAAAAATAAACTGTCTACAATCCACAGAACAATACTCATTTCAAACCTAACAACTATGAATATGCATGATACCATCAATTTAAAATAATTCAATTTTATAAATCTATTCATTTAGCTGAATGTATTGGTGTCTGCAATTGAAAATAAAGTACTATAAACAGTTTCTGAGAATGTAAAGGATCATCAATATTTTAAAGAGTTACTTAATTATAAATCTGGCCCATTACACAAGTTTAGAATGCTATGGTTGATAGCACTTGTGAATTTACTAAGCAGTCACCTTCCCCTATAAAAGCTAAAAAGAACCACAAAACGATGGGAGGAAATGGGTTCATAAAGTACAAAATCAGGCAAATGAAAGGTATTCAATTTTCCACTCCCTTAGTTACAATCAAATTTTGGAAGGGTGAAAAACACCACATCGACAGTATAATACCTACTTCAGCATTTTCGCAGGCTGGCTGGGGCAGCCATTATAGTTTTCTGTTCAGACAGTGATAGTAGTTACAAAGTGCAACCAAAACATTAAATGTGGGTTAGCACTTCTTCGCTTAATTAAGAAATGCTTTTGTCAGCTTCTTCTTTGAATAAAGGGGTTATTAATTCAAGACTAGAGCACATGCTCTGGTGGTTTCACTGTGAGAATTATCACTGTACATATGTCACAGAGAACTGCCTTAATTATTTCAATTAATCAAACAAAATTCCTGCCAACTATATGATGCAACAAATTAAAAACCTACATTTGTACGTGGACAATTTAAAAGTTCTACAACAATTTTGCATCATTTCTAAACTGCTCATCAGGACAAACCTTGACAGGAGAAATATGGAAATGTTCAAAGAAACTAAGAATTGACATATCAGTCATCGATGTTTCCATTAATTCTGTGTTTAGAGCATCAATATCTTGCTGGATTAACTTTGTCTGAAAAAGATTAAATTAAAAATTTCTATTTTAATTTTTCTCTATATGGTTGATTCCCACCCCCCACCCCCCGCAAAAGGCTGATTTCAGTTTTAATCTTATAATTTTCCCAATAAAATAAAAAATCATTACCCTCTTTTTTTCAGCTTCGGGGTCTGTTGTTGGGGTAAACAATGCAATAATAGCTCCTAGAAATGCCTGGTCAACTTTTAAGGCCATCTCCTGAATGAGGACCATAAAATACCTAGGGGAAAAGAATTAGAATGAAAAACCCTTTTTTATCAAATCTTGTCACTTTCAATGTTAAAACACCACATTGAGTTAAAAGCTTAAGACCTTGTTCCCTACTTTCTTGAAAGTGCCATAGTGGGGCGATAGCACAGTGGGTAGGGCATTTGCCTTGCAAGCGGCCGACCTGGGTTCTTTTTTTTTTTTTTTTTTTTTTTTTTTTTTTTTTCCCTTTATTTTATTTTATTTTTTTGAAGTTGTAGATTTACAATTTTTTGTGCTTTGGTTTCAATTATACAATGATCAGATACCCATCCCTCCACCAGTGCCCATTTTCCACCACCATGGATAATATCCCTCCCACCCCCATCCCCCCATCCCCCGTCTCTGTGGCAGGGCAATCCCCTGTGTTCTCTCTCTCCTTTTGGGTGTTGTGGTCTGCAAAAGAGGCATTGAGTGGCAAACATGTTCAGTCCATAGTCTACTTTCGACATGCATCTCCCCTCCTGGGAGGATCCTCCAAACATCCTTTATTTGGTGCTCCCTTCTCTATCTGAATAGCCCTTTCCTCTAGGATACACGGCTGGCCTCTAAGTTATGGAGTAATCCTCCTGGTGCTGATCTCAGCTATTCTTGGGTATTAATCTCATACTTTGTTACTTTATATCCCCCAGATGAATGCAATCTTTCTATGTCTATCCCTCTCTTTCTGACTCATTTCGCTTAGCATGATACTTTCCATATTGTACCACTTGTATGTAAATTTCATGACTTCATCTTTTCTAAGAGCTACATAGTACTCCATTGTGTAGATGTACCAAAGTTTCTTTAACCAGTCATCTGTTCTTGGGCATTCAGGTTTCTTCCAGTTTCTGGCTATTGTAAAGAGGGCTGCAATGAACAAACAAGTGCAGATGTCACTTCGACTATACATTTTTGCCTCTCTGGGATATATTCCCAGGAGTGGTATTGCTGGGTCAAATGGGAGCTCAATTTCTAATTTTTTGAGAATCGTCCATACTGTTTTCCAGAAGGGCTGAACCAGTCGGCATTCCCACCAACAGTGAAGGAGTGTCCCTTTCTCGCCACAACCACGCCAGCATCGGTTGCTTTTGTTCTTTTGAATGTGGGCCAGTCTCTGAGGTGTGAGATGGTATCTCATTGTGGTTTTGATCTGCATCTCTCTGATGATTAATGATGTAGAGCATTTTCTCATGTGCTTTTTTGCCATTCGGATTTCTTCTTTGAGAAAGTTTCTGTTCATTTCATTGCCCCATTTTTGGATGGGGTTGGATGTTTTCTTCTTGTGGAGTTTAACCAGTATTTTGTATATCCTGGATATCAACCCCTTGTCAGATGTGTATTCGGTGAATATCCTTTCCCATTCTGTAGACTGTCTTTGTATTTTGGTCACTGATCAGGGACGAGACAGGGATGCCCACTCTCTCCACTGCTGTTCAATATAGTACTGGAAGTACTTGCAATAGTGATTAGGCAGGAAAAAGATATTAAGGGCATTCAGGTAGGAAAGGAAGAAATCAAGCTCTCACTATTCGCAGATGATATGATACTCTACTTAGAGAACCCAATAACTTCCACCAAAAAACTCTTAGAAACAATAGACTCGTATAGTAAAGTTGCAGGTTATAAAATCAATACCCAAAAGTCCATGGCTTTCCTATACGCAAACAGTGAGAGAGAAGAAAGCAACATGAAAAAAACAATCCCATTCACAATTGTGCCCCAGAAAATCAAGTACCTAGGAATCAGCTTAACTAAGGAAGTAAAGGACCTGTACAAAGAAAACTACAAAACGCTACTTCAGGAAATAAAAGAGGACATGAGGAAATGGAAAGATATCCCCTGCTCATGGGTCGGGAGACTTAACATTGTCAAAATGGCAATACTACCGAAAGCATTGTATAAATTCAATGCAATCCCTATAAGGATACCCATGACATTCTTCAAAGAAATGGAGCAAACACTCTTGAAATTTATATGGAACAATAAGCCCCCACGAATAGCTAAAGCAATTCTTGGGAAAAAGAAAATGGGAGGAATCAACCTCCCGAACTTCAAACTGTACTACAAAGCAGTAATAATTAAAACAGCATGGTACTGGAACAAAGGCAGAACTGCAGACCAATGGAACAGGGTTGAATACACTGACATCTCTCCTCAATCATATGCTCATCTAATCTTTGATAAAGGTGCAAGTAATGTGAAGTGGAGTAAGGAAAGCCTCTTTAATAAATTGTGTTGGCATCACTGGACGGCTACATGCAAAAAAATAGGCTCAGAACTCTGCCTAACACCATGTACAAAAGTAAGATCAAAATGGATTAAAGACCTCAACATCAGACCAGAAACCATAAGGTACATTGAAGATAAAGTTGGCAAAACCCTCCATGACATTGAAGCTAATGGTGTCTTCAAAGATGCCACGCCACTGGCCAAGCAAGTGAAAACAGAGATAGACAAATGGGACTATCTTAAACTAAGAAGCTTCGACCTGGGTTCTAACCCCAGCATTCCATATGGTTCCCTGAGCACTGCCAGCAGTAATTCCTGAGAGCAAAGCCAGGAGTAATCCCTGAGCATTGCTGGGTGTGACCCAAAAAGGGGGAAAAAAAGTGCTAAAGTAGGGACAAAAGAGGTAGAATTCAGCATTATATTTTAACTGTAAGAACAAAAGGGAATGCCCTACCACAGAAGCAGGGTGGGCTGGGGGGGATGGAGGGTGGGAGGGATACTGGGATCCGTGGTGGTGGGAAAGGGGCACTGGTGGAGGATGGGTATTTAATCATTGTATAATTGAAACCTAAGCACAAAAATTTGTAAGTCTAACTGTACCTCATGGTGTCTCACTAATAAAAATTTAAAAAAAAAGAAAGATAACGTCTATTAAGACTGCTTTTCTTAAAGGGCTCATTAAAGTATACTGCAATTTAACACTTAACATTTAAAGTCCCTAATCCCATATTTATCATATTACAGATACAAATATTCCATTTTTGAAGTCTGTATCAATCGCTTTAAAGAACACATCTCACAAACACATGTAGCATTTACATTTCATACTTTCGTGGTCTGATTGTAGTGACAATGGGAAAATAGAAGGAGGTTAAGGGATCTTACCCTTCAAACACTGAGAGTCTATTATTAAAATAAGTTTCAATGCAGAAAATTACTTGGCCAAAAATTGACTAATATATTCCAGTGAGAAATAATTTTTATACATCAGTGATATTTCAAATGAGCCAAAATTAAGTTTAAAGTAGATTTCCATTTTAAACTTCTTGAAATAATTAGGGGCTTCTTACTTGAACTGTAGGACTTTGCTGTACTCGTTGAATCTTGTGATGATACTTACATCAATAAAAGGTTTAGGCTCTGAAAGGAAGAACAGAAACAAGAAGAAAAGCAAATCAAGCTTTGTGCTAGGTCAAAGCAAATTCTGCTTTAACTTCATAAACTTTATTTTTACCTGAATCCATAGCAATTGATTTCGGAGGGGCCACAGGATGGAATATAACAGGAAACATTGTACCTGGTAACTGATTATCAACCTGAAAAAGTTCCAAATTGAAACAAAATTAGCCTCGGCAATATTTTAAATTTATTATAAGTTTATATAATATTAGAGGTAATATTATAGGCAGTACTATCCATTTTATAATCAGTAAATGGAGTAGTATGAGAAGTTTTATTTAAGTCTACAATTCTAACATAACTCAGCAAAGGCACGTTTTCATATACAAGAACAGATAAGTACCCTCACGTGACATTAACCCTGAGGTCCATGTAGACCATGAATGTCTGTCCCTATGGAGCATGGGACTTATCAACTTGTAATTTAACTAAAATTAAGACACAGAATAGCAGGTAGAGAGAAAAAAAGAATAAAAATCTCCTCAATATCAGGTTGTTAAAATAAAATAAAAAGAAGAGAAGGAGGGAGGGAGGAAGGTAGAAGTGAGCTTGAATAAACTAACGGTAACTCCCTTGCAGAATAACAAAAGAAAATCTCATTGAGAGATCACATGATAAAAGTCAAAGGACTATTTCACAGTGACCACTTTAGTAAAAGAAACACTTGCATGCTAACTAGACAATTTAAATCACTTTAATAGACTTGGATGGTGGGTATGCTAAGTAAGATACCTGGAAGAAGGAAAATAATACATACAACAGGAAAACAGCAGTTACAAAGTATGTTGGTACTTTTGGATACAAATAACTATTAGCCACAAGATACTAAAGTCATTCCATATAACCACTGAAGAAAACAATCATTACCTGAAGCCAATACAACCTGGCCCTTAAACTTCTCTGGTGAGGAGACTGCTTAAATTCAACCTGAATTCCTGATAAATAATCCCGCCTTATAGGGCACTGAATTGGAAGGCGCATTGCCATTGGAACTTTATCAAAGTTGACCTGGAAAAAAAGGCACGTGCTGTGTGAGGAGCTGGTGTTAGCAGTGTTAAGTGACTACATTTCAAATATTCCCTGGCGCCATGTGGCTTCCCAAGAATCACTGGATACGGCCCTGGTGGGCTCTGGGCTCCAGGGGGTCGAGCAATACCACAGCCTTAGGCCTGGCACGTGACACCAGACAAGCTGACCTTAGGGCCATGGAGGAGCTGGACATAGAAATCCACAGTGTCTTACAAAGCCTTTACTTAGCAGCAGACACGGTACCATTTGAAATGTCAGAAAAGCGTTTCAATAAGAAATCTTAATTTCTCCATAATTTCACTGACAACAAGTTAGATACAACCCTTATAAAAAGAAAAACTTGTAAAAATGCAGAATAAATATTTCAATGTTTCACAGTATATGAATTAAGAATATATCTAGTCAAAATATACTAAGTTTATTAGTAATATCAAACTTACTAATAAATGAATCTACTAATAAATGAGAGTTATTGACTTCTTTACATAAATTTCCACTTGGACAGTAAAATTTTACGTACTATCCACCAGCAGCAACAAACTACAAACATAAAATCAAACAAAAAGTTTTATTTACCTCAAAATTACTGTCTAATTTAATCCAGCCCTGGCCACTCGATGCTTGGTATTTCTTGTAAGATTGTTCCAACAACATTATCTGCTTTTGATTAAAAGGCTTCCATTTCTGTTTTGGCTTCATCTCCCAAACAACACCAGAACTGAAATTCACAATGAAATTTAGATCAAGAAGCATAGTTAGGTTTATGGAACCATTACTGAATGCCAAATTACTATGCCTATTATTTAATCTCCTTATAAACATTCTGTTTATACAAGAGGATTTTAAAACATGAAAATCTACCTATTATACAATAATGAAAGTCATTCTTCATCTGCATTTGTATGTTCATTGCTGCACTGTTCACAATAGCCAAAATCTGGAAAAAAACCGAGTGCTCAAGAACAGATGACTGGTTAAAAAAACTTTGGTACATCTACACAATGGAATACTATGCAACTGTTAGAAAAGATGAAGTCATGAAATTTGCATATAAGTGGATCAACATGTAAAGTATCATGTTAAGTGAAATGAGTCAGAAAGAGAGGGACAGAGATAGAAAGATTGCATTCATCTGTGGAATATAAAGTAACAGAATGGGAGACTAATAGTAGCGATAAGGACCAGGAGTTTAACTCCACAGCTTCTGGAAGCTGGCCTCACATGTTGGGGAAAAAGGCAGCTCAGACAGAGAAGGGAACACCAAGTGAAGGGTTTTTGGACGACCTGCTCAGGTTGGGAGATGCGAGCCGTATGTAGACTATAGATCGAACACAATTGCCACTCTGTGCCTCTAATGCAAACTACACCGCCCAAAAGGAAAGAGAGAACAAAAGGGAATACCTTGCCACAGAGCTGGGGGGGAGGGGGTGGGAGGGATACTGGGATCATTGGTGGTGGAGAATGGGCACTGGTAGAGGGATGGGTTCTCGATCATTGTATGACTGAAACACATGCACAAAAGTTTGTAAGTATGTAATTGTACCTCAGGGAGATTCACTAATAAAAAAATGAAATTAAAAAGAAAATACACATGGAAAGGTATTTGGGTGGAAGGGGCTTGGTGTTCAGGGATCAAATCTAGGGTCTCACACAAGTAGATAAAGATATTTAGGTACATGGATGTGTAATTAAAAAATAAATTACAAAAGGTCAAAAAAAATCATTCTTCTTCAGCATGGGTAATAGCATTTCGCTTATTCTGGGCTCAAAGTTGATGGTCCTATTATCAAAATCTATTGCAAATGTCCACTTGTTAATACAGATCCACACTGAGAATCCTTAAAACCTATTCACTAAGGCAGGCACTGCCAAATACTGATGCCACTATATGTGAATACTATTTTAGCTGAGGATAAGTACTCCTTGTAATACATTCTATCTTGTTTTTTATACAATTCTCCATTCATTAGACTCATTTCTTGATGAGAAGGATGCCAATAATTTATCACACCAATAATTTGCAGATCGATAACTTCCAACTAAAATTAGGTAGAAGATCTTTCATTAGGGTCCAGAGAGGTAGCAGACTGGGTAAGGAGCTTGCCTTGCACAAGGTGGACCCAGATTTTATACCTGGCATCCCATATGGTCCCCCACGCACGGCCAGGAGTAACTTCTGAAGCAGAGCCAGGAGTAACCCCTGAGTATTGCCATATGTGCCCTCTCCCCCCTGCAAAAAATAAGAGTTTATTTTTAATTGTGTCCATGACACAACTAAACTGATTTTGAAATGTGAAAGTTTCCTACAGTTGCTCTGAGATCAGAAAAAAAATTCTTAAAATTATAGTTGCATGTCATACAATATGACCTGCATGGGACAGAGATTTTACTTCTTGTCATTTAATTCTAAACTGCACAGGAAGTATGTGAAACAGTGGCATTACTTGTAATTTAAACAATGGTAGCTGTCCTTGAGACAGTCGCATATAAATGCTTCTTTACAGATTCTTCTTAAATTCTTCGGCTTTTATATTGGAAATCAGTTCTGCAGATAAGCTAATTTCCAAAGCCAAAGTCTTTACAAATAGCACCTGAGCATAGTTCTTATTGTTCAGAAAATTTTCAATCTTGAACCAGAACTCAAAAAAAGAGAATAACAAAAATCATCATTTAAAATGATAGCCATCACTTTTCTATATAGTAAGCTTGAGTTTATTCAGCTTTCCCTCCTTTCCTCCCTCCCTTCCTTCCTTCTACCCCCTTTTTTAAAGATTGTTCTGGTTTGGTGGATCACATTCGGTGGTTTACACCCGACTCTGTGCACAGGGATCAGTCTAGCAGAGCGGAGACCCTTTGCAGGTGCTGAGTATTAATAAAGGGTTGGCCATGTGCCAACAAAGTGCCTTAATCCCCATTCTATCTCTCTGGCTCCTTAGATTTTATTTCTAACCAAAAAAATTACAGAACCAATGAAGGTTAAGTCTACTAATGTGAATGCTCATTAATTTACTCTATTGGTAAGACTGATGTGTAACAGATGAACCCAAATACTCTACACAAAGTACCTGAAGATAAACTATATTTTAAAGCGAATCTTGACACCAAGCTTATACCTGTCTCAAACAATAATCATAAACTCTAACAATTTTCACAAGTGTGATCAATTTGTCCAACTGAGGTTTTTTTTTTTCCTCAGCATATATTTTTTCCCATTATCTGTTGTAATTTCTCTGAGAAGATGCCACTTCAGCCTCTACCAAATTTGCATTATAAGTAGTAATTATAAGTAGTAATGTAAATTTGGTAGAGGCTGAAGTGGCATCTTCTCAGAGAAATTACAACTGATGATAGGGAAAAAATATAAGTTGAGGAAAAAAAACACTCAGTTGGAAAGGTTTTAAAACGTTTAATAAATGGAAATAATGGGAAACTGAGCTCATTGTATAGCTGCTTTGGGAAATAATTCAGCAGTTCCTGAATGGGTTAACCTAGTATTACCATATGATCCAGTAATTGCATGCCTAGGTAACTGCCTCTATAATGATTTAGTACTACTGTAATAAAGTATGGAAAGCTAGCAAACTTAAAACAGCTCTTATAACCTTTCTCACAGTTTTAGGGACTACAAGTGCTACATCAAGGGGTCAGGGCTTCTCGTACCCTTAGGAGAAACCCTCTCCCTTCAAAGAGCTTCTGGTCTTTGCCTGGAATTTATCACATTTGTGGCCTCCAGCTTCACCTGGACTTGTTTTTTTGTCTTTTCTAATTTTGCTTTGTCTTTTCTAATTTTGCTCTTTTTATCAGACACTGCCTCTGCTGCATTGTGGCCTACCCCAGTGCCCTCATTTTAACTTGATAGCACAGGGGTAGAACATTTGCCTTGCATGCAGCTGGTCGGGCCGACCCGGGTTTGATTCCTCCGCCCCTCTTGGAGAGCCCAGCAAGCTACTGAGAGTATCTCGCCTGCACGGCAAAGCCTGGCAAGCTACCCATGACGTATTCAATATGTCAAACACAGTAACAACAAGTCTCATGATGGAGACATTACTGGTGCCCTGCTCGAGCAAATCGATGAACAATGGGAGGACAGTACTACATTGCAGTGCTACTTGTTTGGAAACACTCTACATACACTAGTGTTGATCTATGCAAACTATCACAGAGGGAAACTCTTCAGCTTCTCAGACAAGCAAACGGCACTGCCAACATCTGCTGACTCATCAAGAGTCCAGGACAATTCACTCAAAATGAAATTTCCAATGATTTTAACAGATGATTGAATTTGTTTAGAGTATCTTCAATTCATGTTCTCCCAAAAAGGGATCCAAGTTTACTTTCTCTGGACAAATTTCTGGTTTTTTTCTGTTAATAGTTTAGGGTTAATTCTGTTTGGGGGCCACGACCAGCAAGTGCTCAGGGCTTACTCCTAGTTCTGTGCTCTGGGGATTATATGCCTTGCTGGGATGTAAATGGGATTAGCAGCATGCAAGCCAAGCACCTTAACCTCTGTACTATCTCTCCTGCACATTAACAGTCTAATTTTTGTTGTTTTGATTGCAGAGTCGAGGATCAAGTGATTCAAAAATTTTGGTTGCATTTTAAGCTTCTCATTTTTCTTAGATTCTGCTATGATGAGATGTTTTGTCTTCATACACATTCTAATTTTCTGGTCATTGATTTACTGTGAGTCGGGCATATTGTGAGGAAAGCTGAGTTTGGAAATGTCAATATACACTGAATTCTTTCAGCACAAGTGCAGAGTCATTTATTATAAAGTAAAATAATGCTTTGCTGTTTTATTCGATAACTGTCCTAACAGTCATTCAAAGTCCACTTATTTTACTTTGATATGAATGTACATTAATTTTTTTAAAAACGCTGTAGAACTTGTATGGCATTCAAACATGCTCAGGTCACAAATATGTGACTCACTTGTTGTGTGTTCACTGGCCATGCACAAGTCACTGTGGTATTATTAAAGAAAAAAATAAAGCAAGGCTGTGTTCTAATACAACTTTACTTTTGTGAAGCAGGCATTCAAGTTCATAGAACTTTCATGTGCCATGAAACATGTTTCCTTAGACTTTTTACACCTATTTACAAAATACAAAACGGTTGGAAGAGGTACCTGCTTCTGCGGCCTCCTCCCCACCCAGACCCGCGTCCCTGAACGCCAGCCACCAGGACCCAGGCCTGGGGCACGTGCCTCCATTTCCCCAGTGAGGGGAAGCCCAAATAGTAGCCACCCTCCCGCCCCCGCCCCCAACAGATCTATGGACTAGCATCCTGACTGGCTGGGGGTGTGGCCTCCACTGTAGGGGGCGTGTCTTCCTCAAAAGTAGGTGTGGCCTTCTATAAAGCCGCAGTTCTTTTTCTCACTCCTAGCACTCTCAACCCACATCCCAATCTTCATCACCTAATTCTGTGGAAAATGTCCTGGCCACCTTAAACACAATATGACAATAATCCACCAGCCTACTCCCATTCCAACAAAAGACCAGTATACCCAAGAAGCTGTACAAACCCAATATAAAAGAACACCTCCTCAAACTTTTCACAAACCAAAAAATAATGTCTGACAGGAAGGACATATTCTAGAAGGGGAGAAGGGTGACCAAGATCCATCAACCTTATTCAGAATCCTTTCCCGCAATAATAGGGAATAGTGCTAGTGAACTTGAAGGTTTTACCTCTATACAACAAAAACAGCATGAAGAA